CTGAGACAACTGTTTTAAAGAGTAGGGCCATTAGCTCTGTGGTGGCTGGAACAAGAGTTATGCAACTCAGCCTAAAAGATTTAAGAGTCTAAGTCCAGTTCTTGAAGAGAAACATTCAGTGAGACTTCCATTCCTAAATAATTTTAGAAAGTGGGGCTTGGACTCTTGCCATGACGAGCGAAAGTCCTAAAAATACCTTAGTGGTTTATAAATATCCTCCTTGCTATTCCAGACTTCTTAGTACCCAAGTCAATATGAAAGTGACATTTAAGCTTCTCAGTCATAGAATTAGCAAGAAGGAGCTCAGTTAATATCTAGTCAATCCAAGACAGGATTTACTCAAAACTATCCCTGACAGATACTTGTTAACCTGGTCTCAAAATCCTGTGACAGAGATGCCACAGGCTCCCCAGGCAAACTGTTACTGTACTTGACTACCCACATCAATAGGAAATTTTTCCTAATGTCTAATGTAAATCTCCCATGCTGTGGTTTAAGCCTATTACTTGTCCTGTTCCTTGTAGACATTTCATAGGCTTTCAGACATGTGAATAGCATTATCATGCATTCCCTCATTTGTCTCTATTTAGGCTTAGCTGAGGCTAAAAAAATGTCCCTCTAGGCACTGTGAAAATTTTTACCTCAAGCCAGCTTAGAAAGTAGAGCTACTTTGTTAATACCTTTATCAAATAGCAATTTCAGGAGAAGAGTGTAGTGTAAGGGCATATGGCAGCAAAGCCTGATACAGCTGTGTCTACTTCAGAAACTTTGTGGTTTAAATCGGGATTTGGAGTTGTATCACTTGCCCAGCTTTTTACTTACTGGGATATCAGTATAGGGATATCAAAAGTCTCAGTAAGTAGCTGCCTTATGTAGGTAGCTGCCATACCCTCATTCAGGTTACTCATCTGGTGTATTGCTTCTCTGCACATGCGTGCTGCCAGGTGGACTGAGTAGCTTACTCACAGCAACTCAGCAACTTCTACAGCACCCACGGCTTTCTGAAACAAGGCCTACCTTATTGCCTTACTCAACACCAAGCAGAATGAAGCCTGACCTAGTCATGTGAAGGGTCTAGAGCAAACATCTTAGGAGGAGGGGCTGAGGGAACTGCGGTTGTTCAGTCTGGAGAACGGAGGCTCAGAAGAGACCATATTGTTCTCTACAACTACCTAAAAACAAGTTGTAGAAAGGTGGGGATTGGTCTCTTTTCTCAAGTAATAAGTGATAGAACAAGAGGAAACAGTCTCAGTTTGTGCCAGGGGAGTTTTAGACTGAATATTAAAAAAAAAAAGTCTCACTGAAAGGGTTCACAGACACTGAAACAGGCTGCTCAGGGAAGTGTTGGAGTCACCATCCCTCGAGGTATTGAAAAAATGTGTAGATGTGGTGCTTAGGGACATGATGTAGTGATGGACTTGGCAGTGTTAAGTTCATGGTTGTACTTGATGATCTTAAAGCTCGTTTCCAACCAAAGCGATTCTATGAGTCTACGTAATTCACAAGTATAGATGTTAAGGAATAGTACTATCTTCCCCTGAAGCAGTTTCCACTTGCTGTGAGCCATTTTTTTCCTACCCTTTTTGACTGACAGGATTTGGAAAGTTTGTATTAATTTTCTGGTACGTCAGTTAGGAGGCATGACAGAAAGCTTGTGTCAGATTTTGCATCCTTGTATTTTTAGAAGCAGCAGCAATGCTTGCTGTTTTATTCAGCTGGATGGAGAAATGCAGGTTCAAGAGCATACCCACATGATGCTGACCTACCTTTGGGTATCAGAAGCTGGGGAGGGAGGTAGGACTACTATGGTAAAAGAGCACTGCACATTAGAGCCACCAAAAGCAGCCAAATTAATTTTGTTTTTGAGTTTCTTCTTTGAATGTATTCATAATGCTTGCATGTGTCAGCTCTGCTGAGGTGGCATCTCAGCTTTTAAATTAATATTGTTGTAATGCATTTCTCTTTAATTAAAAAAGAGAGCACCCCCATAGGAAATTTCCTAAAACAAAACTCATTAATAATAAACAGATTAAATCTTTATCAGTTAATCAACACTACAAACTTATGAACGTTTGGAGAGTGGCATAAGATAACACTGTTGTCATAATAGCAGTGTTTGAAATCATTAGGGATCCTACTGTGCCATTTGGGTGGTGAGAAAATAATGATTGAATATGGGCCCCCTTACAGAGCTCACGTGTGAATTCCTTTAAAGATTAAATCTGCAAAGATCTGGGTTTTATGCTGGCCCCATCTTGAAAGCATTTTTAATTTTTTTTTAAATAGAGGGCAAGGGTGATGGACAATACCAAGCAAATTCTTCATGGTGCTGATACCAGAACCTGTCATAATGCCACAGGTTGGGTTTTTTTAGATGGTGGTTAGTGAAATTTTAGGGATTGTTCACAGGATGGGAGCCTCACCACCTTCTCAGGGACAGCTGTTCCCAGCTGATCTCTCTGAGACTTTACCCTGAGGTGGAGACTGCACTTCAAATTCTTCAGCTTCCTCCAACCTGAATCCTCAAGGCAGTCACTTCAGTCAGGACTGTGTGACCTGCCCTTTGACTATGTTACCCACCTATTGGACATGGGGCAGGCTCTGGACATTGTCTACCTTGACTTTTGTAAGGCTTTAACACTTGTCTCCCACACCATTCTCCTGGAGAAGCTGGTGAATCATGGCACAGACAAGTGTACTCTTCACTGGGTAAAAAACTGGCTGGATGGCCAGGCCCAGAGAGCTGTGGTAAATGGGGTCAAATCTGGTTGGTGGCAGGTCACCAGTGGTGTCCGTCAGGGCTCAGTTTTGGGGCCAGTTTTGTTCAATGTCTTTATCAATGATCTGGATGAGGGAATTGAGTGCACCCTCAGCAAGTTTGAAGATGACACCAAATGGGGTGGGAGTGTTGATCTGCTAGAGGGTAGGAAGGCTCTACAGAGGGACCTGGACAGGCTGGATCGATGTGCCAAGGCCAGTTGTGTGAGGTTCCATAAGGCCAAGTTCCAGCAGAAAAAGACTTAGGGTGAACACTGCTGGTGAACAGGCAGATGGACACGAGCCAGCAGTGTGCCCAGGTGGCCAAGAAGGCCAATAGCATCCTATCAGGAATAGCACAGCCAGCAGGAGTAGGGAGGTGATCCTGCCCCTGTACTCGGCACTGGAGAGGCTTCATCTCAAGTACTGTGTTCAGGTCTGGGCCCCTCACTACAGGAAGGACATTGAGGTGCTGGAGCGTGTCCAGAGAAGAGCTACCAAGCTAGTGAGGGGTCTATAGAACAAGTTATATGAGGAGCAGCTGAGGGAACTGTGGATGTTTAGTTTGGAGGAGACTGAGGGCAGACTTCATTGCCCCCTACAGCTACCTGAAAAGAGGTTGTAGGGAGGTGGGTTTTGGTCTCTTCTCCCAAGTGAATAATGACAGGACAAGAGAAAATTATCTGAAGTTGCAGCAGGAAAGGTTTAGATTGGATATGAGGAAGAACTTCTTTACTGAAAGGGTTGTCAGGCACTGGAACAGCCTGCCCAGGGAGGTGGTTGAATCACCATCCTTGGATGTATTCAAGAAATGTGTAGATGAAGAACTTCAGGGCATGCTCTAGTGGCTTAGATTGTGGGTTGTGTTGTGAGTTTTTTTAGAGTGTGGGTTGCTTTTTTGTTGTTTGCTTGGTTTTGGTGTTGTTGTTGTTTTTTGTTTGTTGTTTGGTTTGGGTTCTTTTGTTGGTTTGTTTTGTTTTTTACGGTTGGACTCTGTGATCTCAGAGGTCCTTTCTAACCATGACTAATCTGTGATTCTCTGATTCTGTGACTTTGACAATGCTCTGATCATGCATGTGAGGGGGAGTTCTGCTCAGGTTCAGCTCTATCATGGGGATAAGAGGCACAACCTGCTGTGCAGATAGAAAGGACAATGTAGCTTCTTTGGAGCTATTTGGTTTATTTGGATTCTTTCTATGAATTCTATGAAAAACAAAAGTGGGCTGGAAGAAAAATAAGGGCAGTGAGAAAAACAAATGGTGTTTGTCCACATCTAGCAAACTTACTGGAATGGGTTAGAAAGAAGTTATTAGCAAGGGGGCTGCAGCTGGGAGTCAGATGTAACTATTGCCATTTCATTTCTCATCTTTGCTTGTTACTTGGTCTCCGCAGCATTAATTGCATGTGTTTTGTCACCATCAGTTTTGTTGCAGCATGAGTTACAGCAGCAGTAAGAGTATTATGAAATGTTTAAAGTTTGAATGCATTTCTTGCTTAAAATACTGGTTAAAGGTTTGATGACTAGAAGTCTTTACCTACCATAGCACTATCACTTTGGAAAATCAGATGGTAGGTGTCCTCACTTTTCTGTCACTTGTTCCAGTCAGACTGTGTGCAAAAATCACAAATTTTCAAAATATCCCTTTCTTTTCCTCATATTGTGTTATGTCTCTGTGTAGTATATTTTCAAGCAGGTTTTGCAGGGCTAAATTGTAACAACTTCCTTTGTATTCATAATTACAGTCAGCTCTGTCACCTGTGAATTAAAACCTTTTATTAAATATCTTTATGAAATGCTATGTACAGATTTACTTGGAGGGGAATGAGAGGATATAAACTGTTGAGTTCTTATGAACAGCCACATAATGCATTTCTGTGCTGTGTTGTTGGACTGCACCCGCCTTTGAATCTTGTGTGTGCATTTGGAGAGAGAAGCACAGATACTTGTTTTGTTTTGTTTTTTTAAATACTGGAGCAAAAGATCACCTTCTATCAAGAGACCAAATGCCCTGCCATGGCAAAATGGACTGCTTGCAAGGGTCCATTTGATCCTTCTGGTCATACAGCTTTCCTACAATACTGTTTGTGTCATTCACAGGGTGGATGACCTTCAGATCTCAGTGGAAAGGTCTTCCCTTCTTCAGACTCTCTGCTAAAAAAGGAGAACACGTCCCATGAGTAACATAATTTATTTATTCATCCTGTCGTCCTCACATTTTCTTTTCTCTTTTTTCTCTTTTCAGGATGGAGTAGGTGTGGATGAGAAGCTGTCTTTACGGCGGGTAGCCGTCGTAGAAGATTTCTTTGACATTATCTATTCCATGCATGTGGAAACTGGTCCTAATGGAGAACAAATCAGAAAACATGCTGGTCAAAAGAGAACATATAAAGCAGTAAGTAAAAAACCCAATCAACAAAAAAAAAGTGAGCATCAGTCTCTAAAAGCATGAATTATTTGAGCTCAGTCACATGACTTGCAATTTGTGTGTTGTTTGGTTTTTTTTCCAGCTGCATTAGTACTCTAACCCTCATTCTGAAATTTATTTTGGACATCTTTCAATAATGCATGAAAACATACAGCTTAGAAATCAGAGGAGCCACATTTTCTGTGTAAAAAGGGCTGGTTCCTTTGACCTCAGTAGAGATTTTTCATTGGTACAAGCAGAGAATTTATCCTTTCTATAACAGTGTGACTATTTCTCTAATAACTCTGTATTAATTAGTTGTTATTGAATGGATGAAGTCTTGAAGAAGACTAGGAGCTTTTCTGAATGAGGTGCTGTAATTCAGCACTTGAATGAAGTTGCATTATCATTCATGGCTGCAGACTAAGTATACTTCATGGTTTAATGGCATGAAAACTTGTAAATATCTGAAATTCAAAAGGCCAGAGAGCTACTAGATACAGTGAAAGAAGCACGGAGAAGGCAGATTTCACACCTGTATAAACCAGCTGAGTAAAGAGAAATTATTATTTCTAAGATTTTTAATTGGTTGTTATTGCTTCACCTTACCAGTTCAAACTGCTGCTTTTATATAGCTATAAATAGCTTTTGCAGTTAGTGGCACAAACATAACACTTCCTTTTCTTAGGGAGAACTAATGAAACATTTCCTGCATTTTTCCAAGGGGCTTAAAATATATCTGCCTGCCTGCATTTTGATGGCCAAAATTCCATGCATGGGGCTGTGACAGTGCCAGGCACACTCAAGGCTTGATCCTGATCCACGTTCCCAGCTGTTCCCAGCTGCCAAAGCAGCGAGGGCTCCCCTAGAGCAGCTGGACAGGGGCTCCCAGCCAGGGCCTCAGCCAGGATGCAGGGCATCTGAGGAACACCTCCCCATGGCCTCCAGTGGGGCAGGACTGGTGGGAGGCTGTGCACAGGGCCCTGAGGTGACCTTTCATCCTGAACGCAGTGAGCAGTGATCTTAATCTTAAAAACAACCCATAGTTGCATGAAGGATTTTCCATAAAAATGTGGGGAGAATCCAGGTTTCTGATAGCCACATCTTCAGTTTTAGATGTAAGAAACAGCTGTTTTTCCACTTACTATGTGTTGTTTTGTTGGTTTGTTGTTTTTTTTTTCAAGTATATAACAGTCTTTACTACGTATCTATTAATTCCTTCACAGATATTTTATTCATAGGCTGTTGAAGACAATTTGTTGTGGGATAAGCTCTTGGCAAGAGTTCTTGTAATTTATTCTCAGCGGTATTGACCTTACAATAGATGTATGAAGAAACACACCAGTTGTTTGAGTGTGCTTTGTAAGGCTTGGAGTGATATTTCAGAGTGAACAAAGACAAACTGTCTGAATGAATTTTGTTCTGTCACCTTGGCCATTTTGATACCTCTCTTTTAAAAAGCATTAGAGAAGTAATATTTTCATTGACCTTCCCCTTTCTATTTTGTTTTACTTCAGGAAGCTGTTCAAAGATATAGGTCACAAACTTTGTGGAATAACATACAAGTCTAAGGAGTAATACCAACTATAAATACAAAAATACAAGTAATCATCCTAAAAATACATGCCAAGTATAATATTTACTACCATAAGAATCCTATGATTCCAGTTCAGATAAGAAATGTATTGATTGTGAACAGCATGAGCAACAACTAGTGTCTCTTCTGTGCGCAGAACAATTTGTGCAGATTCAGTAGCCTACACAGTAGTTTCATTTGATGTTAACTTTTATTGTAATTGAGACCTGAGCTTAATCATTATGAGGATAAAAATGTCCAAATATAAGTTTGTGTCGTTACCAGAGTCTGCAATATTTGTGTATTCATTTCATTGCATATTAGTTTATTGAGGGTATTGAGTCGTATTTCCCAAGGACAGGATTTTTGAAGATTTCCATAGATTAAAAAAAGGAAAAAAGACTCCAGAACAAACTGATATCACCTCTTGCTCTCTATCTGAATATGAGAATTAGGTTAAATAAACAGGCCTCAAACTCTACCAGGCTAACTGGGGAAAGGCATACTCCTTTACTGGACCTATCCATGAAAATGCCTTCACTAAAAATGATGAGCTGTAATGTTGGTCGTTGCCAGCAAGCCACGCAGTTTCTACCTCCTCTGTGGCATCGCAGAAGGAAAGAAGTAGTGTCTCAGGTAGCTGTCTCAGAAAACCTTACACCCTAAAAGCTTTATAAATCAAACTAAAATACTTTGGCAGGATTTAATTTTATTAAGTGAATGGGGAACAAGATTAATTTAGTCTTGTGTCTTTATTCACATGTCAAATGTGAATCACCCTTGAGATCTGTGAATGTATTTATCATGCATAAGTATTCACCAAATAGTCTGAGTGAAGAATTTTACAGGAAGGATGGTTCACAAACTGTATGCTCCAACTGCTATTTGTTATTCATAATTCCTGGCATGTGATGATCCATTGCTTCTGCTCTCTGACTGGATAGCTGAAACATTTTAACGGTGAGAAAACAACTACAATTTTGGTACAAATTGTTAAACTCCAGAAGTTCATAAATATTGCCATGGATTTTCAGTTCCTGAGTATTTCTGAAAAATTAATGACACAGCCCTAAGAATGACAACATACAGATTTCAAGTAATTAATTTGCTTTTACATGTGTTAGTCTCTATTTTCAGTAGTGAACTTGCTCCACTAAAAATTTTGAATAGTACTCAAGCATGATTAGAAGGGTAATGAAATTGTCAAAGGTGACTTAATTAAGTGCTGTTTGTATTTATATGGAGTGACAAACTTGGAGTAGGTAGGGTCTTTTTAATTTTTGATGGAGTCACCCCAGATGCTGGAGTGCTAACATACATCGGTATGTGTCTCTGAAGGCGTGTTCAGAACAGCTTACAAACTCAATTAGTGAATCTGTAGCCTGCACTGACTTGTTTATATTAACTATGTGGAAACTGATGGTGTTTTTACAACTGATTTCTGTGGGACTTCCTGCAGCGGTGCTGTACAGGAAGATAAATAGGAAATGGTAGTTGGTACCTCTAAAAGAGCAGTGTATTGGAAGGAAGCCTTTATATTTTAATTGGGACAGCAATACGCCAAACTCAAACTTTATGATTTCTTGGCACAAACTCTCTAGATTAATTAGGAAAGCATCTGTGCTTCAATATTTAAGTTTAGAATGGGTCCCATTTTCTTCTGCTCAGCATGCTAACAAATGAGAAGGGAATTGTACAAAGTCTACAAAGACAATGTGGGAGAGTTACCTTGAAAAAATAGCTTCCCATTTAACTGGTAGGTTTTATGCTTATTTCAACTGCCCAACTTGGATACAATGTAAGATTGACGGGCTATATTCCTTGCCAGCATAACTGTAGGTAGATCTACACCAGCAAAAAAATACACCTGGCTTAGATATATATAAAATGAAACAAGTAACATTTAATCATATGTGGAGTGATTCACTACTAACAAACAAGTATGCTAGACTGAAATAATACTTGATATGATGGTTTAAATCTCACCTGGTTCCCAGGCAAGTTTACAAATAGGGAAAAAAACATTGAAGGCCTCAATTGGGGAGATAATTCCCTCACAAAGGCAGGATATGTGACACAAGGCCTGGCCAAGCTGGTTGTTCAGCAAGAGCACAGGTGACTAGAGAGGTGCAGAAGGTGAAAAGAGCATGTTGCTTGATGCCAAGGAAGGCAGCAGTGCCCAGCCAGGTCCCTGTGTTCTGCTTGGGTCCTCTGCCAGGCTCCACAGGAGGTGCAGTGAAATGTGCTGATGCAAGGAATTGGCTAAGCAGTCAGAAGAAAATACTGAAGATCTTTGTAGGGGTGACTGTTAGCACTCGCTATTACAGCCCAGAGTCCAGGAGAAACTCTGTCTCTCTCTCCTAAAGGACTTACTTTTGTATAGACATCCCACCCTGAAAGGAGAACTGCAGTGTCAAAGTGGAGATGGGGACACACAGGAGAGAAGTGTTGAGGAGAAGAACCTGTCTGATGTATTGGGAAAGGTGTTGAACAAGTGCATAGCTGGCTTTCTGTGCCTTTTCAGGGCTGCATTTCTTCATTTAAACTATTCAGCTGTGTCTAAAATTTTAATTCAAGCACTGAGGGGTATATCAGAGGTGGGAGTAGCTGGGAAAAGTTGTGGTTACAGTAGCAGCATAACATAACAGGCTCAAGCTGTTAAGGACAACTCTTCGTGATTCAGTGGAAACCAGGAAAAAACAACAACTATATTTGTCAAGAAACTCAAATGATCTGTGACGAGACTGAAGATGGAAAACATCTCTGCCTTTTCTTAGGCCCAGCTAAGGGTACAGGTAGGCCAGATGTAGTGATCAAGCCATACATTTCATGGTAGACTTTATTTTCCCTTAATATTATTTAAAAAGATGTTAGATTTCATTCATTTGAGCAATAGATTATGAAGTGTTAAGTGCCTCACCTTTGTGTGTTATCTCTGGACAAAGGTACCTGTAACTAAATGAATAATCTGAGAACTGTTTGTGTAAGTCTTGTAGCCACCTTAAACACCTTAAATTCCATGTGTTTATTCTACTTGAATATTTTTACCTGTGAAGGATGATTTAATTGAGCCTGTGTGACTGCCGTGAAGTGTTACAGGAGTGAACTTGAGTTGTGAGTGAGAGTTGCAATGTCTGAGCAGAAGTGGGTCAGTTAATTAATTCCCAACCCATGAATGAAAAAAGAGCACTGGGCTGATGAGCTGGAAGAGGAGCAGGCTTGTAAAACACAAGGGAGATAGTGATGTATCATGGAAAAGTAGCTTGAGGCAAGACTCTGATCTGATACTTAAATAAATATATAACATCTGAGGCATAACAAGGCTCTGTTAGGTGTGGGGCAATATCTAGGATCCTGTGCTTCATTCAGCTGTTGCAATAATAAATGCTTCTTATTTTTGGGATCAGGCCTC